CCGCTTCTCCCTAATCCCCCACTCCTAGTCCACAGCTCTCATCAGGAAGTCTCCCTCACAGAAGGCCGAGCAGGATTCAGAAGTCAGCAACACAGGCTCCCTGCTTCCCCCTGGAGTCTGTGGTTAGGTTATTTTAGGTTCTGGGTTCTCTGCCTTCATCTCTCCTCGGAGCTTCACCATCATCCACGTGCCCGATGGCTTCTGGCTCCATCCCAGCACTTCCTCTTTCCCGGATTCAGGGCTGTGGCCCCAGCTCCTGTGGGACAGTACTTCTGGGCTAACAGGTCTTATGCCTTACCAAGCCATCGCTTTTATCCCAAAACTGGATCCTCCACCATACACCCTGGTGCTTAAACCAAAACTTTAGAACTTCCTTAGGATTCTTTTCCTTCATGACCCCAAAACTCCCCCAACAGCTGCAGAATCCATCCAATCCGAGCAACCACCCTGGTCTCAGTGCCCGTATGTCTCACTGCTGGGACCTCCTAACCTGCCCTTGCTCTCCCTTTTGCCCCTCGCCACTCCGTTGCTTCCACACAGCAGGAGGAGCAGTCTTTACAATCATAAATCAGATCATGTCACTTCCCTGCTTAAAATCCAGGGGATCCCATCTCACTGAGAATCAAATCCCGTCTTTTCACTGGGGCTTACTAAGCCCTCCACGAGCTGAGCAATACCCCCACCCCACTCTCCAGCTTCGTCTTCCACCTCTGTCTCAAAGCCCTTCTTTCCTGTTCTGACACAGATGCTAGTTCGTTCTCACCTTCGGACTTTGCACCAGCTGTTTTCTGAGCTTAAAATGTTCCTGCTCTAGACCTTTGCGTGGCTGACTCTTGCCATTCAGAGCTCAGCTTCAATGTCACCTCTCAGAGAAGATCCCCCAAGCACCTGATAAGTCCCTCTATCACAACGTCCTATTGTAATTTTCTGTGTAGTGCTGTTCACTAGCTAACCTTTTTGGTCTCATTTGCTCACTTATTCAATTCTTTTTTTTTTTTTTGAGACGGAGCTTCGCTCCTGTCACCCAGGCTGGAGTGCAATGGCGCGACCTCGGCTCACCGCAACCTCCGCCTCCTGGGCTCAGGCAATTCTCCTGCCTCAGCCTCCCAAGTAGCTGGGATTACAGGCACGCACCACCATGCCCAGCTAACTTTTTGTATTTTTAGTAGAGACGGGGTCTCACCCTGTTGACCAGGATGGTCTCGATCTCTCGACCCCGTGATCCACCCGCCTCGGCCTCCCAAAACTTATTTAATTCTTTATTGTCTGTCTCCTCCAAATAGGATGTGAGCTCCATGAGAGCTTGTTCATCATTATATTCCCACATAGCAGGGAATGTAGCAGGGCTCAGGAATTGTGAAATCAATTAGTAAAAAAAACAATTCTAAGGCTGGGCACATTGGCTCACACTTATAATCCCAGCACTTTGGGAGGCTCAGGTGGGAGGACCGCTTGAGCCCAGGGGTTGAAGACCAGCCTGGGCAACATAGCGAGACCCTGTCCTACAAAAAAAAAATACAAAAAATTAGCCGGGCATGGTGGGGTGCGCTGGTAGTCCCAGCTACTTGGGAGGTTGAGGTGGGAAGATCACCTGAGCCTGGGAGGTTGAGGCTGCAGTGAGCTGTGACTGTGCCACTGCACACCAGCCTCAGGAACAGAGTGACGTCCTGTCTCAAGATAATAATTAAAAAAGGGTTCTAAGTGGCTGCCCTCATTTCTCCTAGAGAGAGGAGAGTGCGGGGAACCTCATTATCTGGCCCCTTAATGGGCTCCCTTGACCAGGCCAGCAATAGTTTCCTTGGGGAGGCAGGGGTCACTCACCACGTGCAGCATCCTAGAGCTCCCGCAGGGCCTGGAAAGACCAGCTCTGCGTCCTCTACCACAGCCCCTGTGCCTCTGAGGACAGGCCTGGTGCCTCAGTTCTTAGACTTTCAGGGCTTAGGGTGGGAATGGGAGATTTCACTCTCATTCCAGGGCCAGTCTGCGGCGTCCCTGCAGGAGCTACTGGTCCCTGCTCAAATTCCCCAAGGTCAGGGAGCTTGATGCTTCTGTACTGTCAGAATCACGTCCTTTCCTCAACAGAAGCCTGCCTCCCAGAGGCCCCTTCAGGGCCTGGAGCCTTCCTGGGGGCGGGGCTGCAGAGGAGTGGGGACACAGCACACCCTCCAGCCTCATGTGTAGGAGAGTGGGGCTGCCCTACGGCCTCACTGGCCATATTGCCCTAGAGGGGCCTGCCCCTGGCTGTCACCCAGGGAAGGGGTGTGAGGTGAGGAGTCCCCACTGTGGCTGACTGGAGCTGATGGGAAAGTGAGCCCTGGGGCACTGGATGTGGAAAATCTCTTCTGGTGTGCCTGTGAAGGAAGGGGGGCACAGAAGAGATAAATGATGACCTTCAGCTGGGGTTATAAGCTGAAGGGACTCGGGGCAGCCAATGTCCACTCTACCCACACCATTGATCCATGTCCCACTGCCCTGAGTCCTTATCGTAGGCTCACATTTCCTCTGCAGCAGCCAGGCCCGCACAACAGGATCTGGAAGTCTTGTCGGGAAAGAGGAAAGAGAGTGTAATTCCAGGCATCTAACAGCAGGTGGGAGAGGTGTTAGGGCTGAGCCTGGCTTTGCAGGGATAGAATCCTGAGGCGGGAGGAGAAGGGCGGTTTTGACCACACCCCAAGGCTGCATCAGCGGTGGCTCCTCTCACCCACGGCTCACCACAGCAGCAGGTGGCATCTGAAGCTGCAGACCAACACACCAGAAGAGACAGGACTGGAGCCTGGGGAGGTGGCCTTCCTTACACACATACAGGGTGGAGTTGGGGAGCTCAGAGAAGAGGTCAACCGCTCTAGGTACTGGATGCTTCAAAGGTTAAGGCCCATCAACACGAGCAAATTAATAGAGAAGTCCTGTTCAGCACCTGCTCAGGTAGATTTGCTCTTCTCCAGGTCAGTGGGAGAGGGAGACAGCAGGAGAGGCAGAGGCGGAGACGGCACCAGAGGAAGGGAGAGACCAGGGCTGGTGGGAAGTGTCCGGGGCCATGACAGAGTAGCAGCAAAGCCTGCCTTGGGAAGAGAAAGGGAGGCTGGTGATGAAGCCAAGAGTGGATGAGGAGGGAGTCACAGCCCCTGGGGGGTGGTCAGCATGTCCCCCAGTCACTGCTTGCCAAGATCGCTGCATGGAGAGGAAGCGCTAGCTCAGAGTTGCAGTGTCTCCTCCTCAGTCCCTCACACCTCCTTTTCTTTTTTGTAAGGCAGCCCCTATTCCTCTACCTGGCCCCCTTACCTGCCCCCTCACCTGGACGAACCACAGGCTGGGCCCAAACTCTGCAAGTCCAGCTAGCTTGGGCAAAGGGCCTGGGCTTTGCACACCCCGTGCAGCACTTCTGCATTTCTCCCCTCACCATCCCTGCTCCGTGACCATGCCCTAACCACTACTGCTGCCTTCACACCCCCCATGCATGTGTGATGTCAGATCGTTACCCAAACACTCACTGCCCATCTCTTCCAGGGCCAGGCAATCACACCCACACACTCCTGTCTGTCCAGTCCCCCAATCTGACACATCTGTTCCCACAGACATTCACAGGCATAGTCTTATAGTCTTTTGCTCAGTCCACACACTGCTCCTCCCTGGAGCCCACTCCAAGATCTCTAAGAGGGACCTGGTATGAGGATGTGGAGGCACTCAGCCACAGGCTGGGAGGGCCCCAGAACCCAGGGTGCTCAGTCAGAGGCCCCACAGCCACTCCCCCCTCCCCAGCCTGCACTGTCACAGAGGACTGACTCCAAAGGTGCTTTATTGAGAGTGAGGCATGCAGTAAAGCATGGTGTGGCACTGTCATGGTGGGTGGGCTGGCATTGCTTGTAGTGAAGGTCACACTAGGACCTTCAGAGCTGCATGCCCCTCACCACTCACCTCTGTCAGGGCCCCAGCCTCAGCTACCCCCACTCCTAGTCAGACAGAAAGGGTGAGGAGTGCTCACCCCCGCCCTACTTCTAGGGCCCATCATGGCTCAAGTCAGAGCCACAGCTTCTCAGCCAAATGAATCCCAAAGGTCATGTTGGGGTAGAAACAAGGAGGGTGGGGAGGGGCAGGAGAGGGGCTGGAAGCCTTTCACAGTGTGTGCAAGGACAGAGACAATCCAGGCTGACATTTGTCCCTTCTTCCTCCCACCTCCCTGGGGGGACTGGCATTGTTAGCCCCTTCAGGGTAGGTGCTCCTTGGTTCACAGTGCCCAAATACCAGGGGGAGGGGGCAGTGTTAGGGTTTGAGGGGCCAGGGGCCTACTTGCATCAAGCTGGATGGGTAAGGTTTAGTAGAGACCAGAGACTCCACCTAAGGGGCCAAGGCTCTGCTGCTCCCTTCTTTGGGATGTGACCCTGGCACCATCATCACATTCTACCCCCTAGAAGTTTGGGAGATCGGAAAGATGAGGCCACTGGTGCCCAGTACCAGACCTTTGTGAAAGAGAAAGGAAGGAAGGAAGGGAGGGAAGGAGGGAGGGAGGGAAGAAAGAGAGAGAAAGAGAGAGAAAGTGGAAGGAAGGAAGGAGGCTGGGCGCGGTGGCTCAAGCTTGTAATCCCAGCACTTTGGGAGGCTGAGGTGGGTGGATCACGAGGTCAAGAGATCGAGACCATCCTGGTCAACATGGTGAAACCCCGTCTCTACTAAAAATACAAAAAATTATCTGGGCATGGTGGCGCATGCCTGTAATCCTAGCTACTCAGGAGGCTGAGGCAGGAGAATTGCCTGAACCAGGAGGCGGAGGTTGCGGTGAGCCCAGATCGCGCCATTGCACTCCAGCCTGGGTAACAAGAGCGAAACTCCGTCTCAAAAAAAAAAAAAAAAAAAAAAAAAAAAAGGAAGGAAGAAAAGAAAGCAAGAAGGGAGGGAGGAAGGAAGGAAAGGTTTTCTTTTTTTCTTTTTTTTCCTTCCCCCACTAAATGGCACTGAATGAAGGAGAGTGAACCGGGGCAGCGGAGTCGCGGCAGGGCCGTGGTCCGCTAGGGGACGGCCCGCTCTCGGGGCAGGTTGAGCTGGACCCCTGCGAAGCGCAGCGCGCAGACGGCCGCGGGCTCCTGGGCCTCCAGGGCGAGAGGGCTGTGGCCGGGGCTGGAGCGGCCAGACGACGCGGCGGAGAAGGCAGGGCTGAGCTGCACGGCCGTGGCGTCCTGCGCCGTGCGCTCGCTGCTCTCCATCTCCAGCACCACGGGCCCGCCGCGGCCACCGAGAAAGAGCGGGGCGCGGGATCCCGGCGGCCACACACGCAGCAGGCCGCGAAGAAAACGAGCGCCAGCACCAGCAGCGCCGGCCCCAAGACGAGCGGCGCGTTGTGCCGGGGCAGGAAGGAGGCGAAGGCGCCGGCCAGCGTCACGTTCGCGCCCTCCAGCAGCGTGCACAGACCGCAGGCTCAGCACAGCGCCGGCGATGGCAGGCCCTGCCCCCGGCCCCGGGCGCGTTCCGCGGGTGCTGGGGCCGGTGGCCCCTGGCTCTTTTCAGCGGGTGGCATCGGTCTGCGCACGCTGGGCGCGCATCAAGCTCGCCCTGAACAGCCCACCTGCCAGGGGCTGCCTCACGGTCGTCCTGTGGGCACACAGCGAGAGGGTGGGGTCAGCAGGATATCTCGATCTGCAATCCTAGGCTCAGTCTGTAGCTACATTTGGTGCCTGGGCGGGCAGAGGCCACCTTGGCCAGCCCCCTGCCTCTGCCTCTGGGAAGCAACAGCCCACCCTATATGGGAAGAGTCGGCTTTTGTTTCCCCATCTAGTTCCAGGGGTCCCTCGTGGCCAGTCTTGCCATCTTCCCTCTTCCCTCACTTTCTTTGTCCTCCAAACAGACGCTGCCCCCCAACCCCTCTACTCCAGGAAGCCTACCTGGACTCACTGAGTGGGAGAATGGCTGGAAAGTGCTCAGCACAGTGTCCGGTTCAGCTTAGGTGCTCATCACATGATAATCATCGTCTTCAGTAATACTAACTAGAAGGCAAATGGCAGCTCTTGGGATTTAGACAACTCACCCTTTCAAGTGGAAAAGGCCTTGGAAACCATCCCACCTTGCCCCCCACCCCCACCCCCTTATTCAGATGGAAGCTCCCAGAGGTCTAGCAGTTTATCCAAGATCCAGAACCAGGACCTGAATGACCTTGCCCCTTGGCCTCAGCATCCGTACCCAGGCTCAGGTAGGCATAGCAATGACATTAACTCTCCTGAACATCAGATGAAGGCCTGGAGTGAGTGGGAGTGAGGAGCTCCCGATGGTTCAGCCGATCAGTGACGGGGTATAGTCCCCCCATGGGCTGGGTTGGGCTGCAGCAGATCTATGGCACCAGGGTCCTTTCTAGACTGGGCACTCTATGAAATTCCAGTCCTACCTCCATTCCACTCCCCATTGTTCTACTGTTGAACCTGGATTCAAAGGCCTAATCGCTGGATGCTAGAATTCCTTTCTAGGATTCTCTGGATGTCTCTGGTTCTGGGATCTATCACTGGATTCTAGAATTCTGGAAATGCAGAGAAACAAGAGTAATAAAATTAGAGTCTAGGGATTTATGACTTTGATTTGAGAATTCTGTTCTATAACGCATAAAATCATGGTTGGTACAAAGGCCCTCAAAGGATGAGATCTTAGCTAGTGAGCTATGTTAGAATTGTGGGGGAAAAAAATGCCACAAAAGGGTCCTGGATGGGGATGAAAAGGAAGTAAGCAGATGGTACTGCGGTGGGAAGGAAGCATGCAGGGTGAGGAACAGGGAGTGCCACCCGCACTGGGTGCCTGACTCTCCTGCTTCCATCTTATCTCCTGTAACACGGGGCTACCAATAGAACCCACCTCACAGGGTGCAGTGATAACTAAATACTTAAGCTAAATCAAGCGCTTAGAACAGTGAGTATTTAACAAATGTTAACCATGCCCTTGTGGTGGTGGCTGACAGAAAAGGGAGCCATGAAGTCTCAAATCTGGGAGGTTGGTCATGTTGGGTTTGGAAACAGAAAAGTTGGGTTGTCTCTCAAGTGGAGGTACCTTTCTGAGTGTCCAAACTCTATACCCAGTGGGGTTGGAGAAAGCTTGATCATTGAGTGAAAATGAGGGGTAGTGTCAGATCCTTCACCCTCCACACAGGATGGTGTCAGCCTGGCCCAAGCAGGTCAGAGGGCCTGAAAAGCCACCTCCAGGCCTGTCTAGAGCTGATGACTCCAGGGCTCCCTCTCTTGGCACCATGCTGAGAGATGGCAGCTCTACTGAGACTCCAGCCAGAATCACCTTGTTGCTATTCCAAGCTGGCAGGAAGTCAGAAATTCCTATGCCTTCATGAACATCTGCTCTCTAACCTGCTGTTGATGGTTCTGTCAGGCAGGGATGCAACCACTAAAGGGTACAGCACTTTACAGTTTGCAGAGCACTTTTACATCCATGATATCACAATCTCTGCGACTGCTTGTTGCCTATTAATGGCCACACTTTGACCAGGTGCAGTGGCTTACCCCTGTAATCCCAGCAGTTTGGGAGGCTGAGGTGGGCAGATCGCTTGAGCCTGGGAGTTTGAGACCAGCCTGGGCAACAAGCCAAAACCCTGTGTCTATTTTTTTTAAGTATGAAAAGAACTAATTTTTTGTTTTGTTTTGTTTTTAATAGCCACATGTTACGGCTGAGGAGACTGAGGCTCAGAGAGGGAAATGGATTGGGGTTCTGGTGGCTGGACTAAAAGAAAGACAGACATGCTGAGACCAGAGTCAGAGAACAGATGAGCTTGCTCACACCCCACACAATCCTGCTTAATTTTAAAGTGAAGGATTTGATCCTCAGGAGTGGCTGTGAGATTCCCAGATCTTCCCCTTTCAAACCTCTTCCCCACCTCAGTCATCAACATCTGACATTATCTGACAAGGCAAGGGTTCCCTGCCTGTGGGGAGGGCTCAGTCTGAGTGTGCCCTGATGGAGGGGAGGGAGTCTGGCTTACCTCACTTCACATCAGTCTCTTGGAAGCTGACATTGGCCTAGGGTCAGGGAGGCCCTGGGGGCTGGGAAGTCCAGGGGTCTTGCTTCTTTTACCATATGGGAAAGACTCTCCTTTGCCTTTGGGTTTTTGGCAGTTTTGCTGTGATGTGCCTAAGTGAGTTTTTCTTTGTATTTATCCTTCTTTGTAGATACTTTCTTTGTATGTATCCTTCCTGGTGCTTCTACAATCTGTGGCTGCATCTTATCCGCCCCCCCCCCCCCCCCCCCCCCCCCCCCCCCCCCCCCCCGCCCAGGCCAGGAAAAACTTCAGCTCTTATATTGTTGCAGGAGCGGCCTTGGGAAAGATCTCTCTGGAAGGAGTTTATTCCGGGAACCAGGTGGCATATTTGCCTAATATCCAAGCTCGCCTAAACAAAAGAAGGTTCCTTCTTTATATAGGCTTATACTTTAGATGTTACACGTGGAAGAATCTTAGGTTCATAGCTTAACATATGGAAGGGGTCTCTGTTTACAGTCTTAGGAATTACATATGAAAAAGGTTTCAGTTTACAGTCTTAGGAATTACATATGAAAAGGGCTTCGGTTTACAGTCTTAGAAATGAAAAGGGGAAGTTTACTGTCTTAGGAAAAGGGAAGTTGATCTGAGATGCCTGAGTCTCCCTCTTCAATATTTTCCCCATTCTCTTTCTCCTCTCCTTCTGGGACCTTCATTGCACTTATGTTCAGCCATTTGTTATTGCCCCACATGTCTCTTTTACACTTTATTCTGCATTTTCTAGCCCTTTCCTTCCCTCCTCTCTGTTTCAGTCTGGATATTTTTCTACTGAAATATTTTCCTACTACCCAGGTTTACTAATCCTGTTTTCACATGTATCTTCTCTGCTGCTAAATCCATCAATGGAGTTACTGATTTCATTTGTTATAACTTTTCAGTTCTGGAATTTCCACTAGATCCTTTTTCATAGATTCCAGTTTTCTATTGAAAGATTCCCTCTCATCATCTATTTTCTTGAACATATTCAACCTTCTGGAGTCCATGTCTGAAAACTCCAACATCTGGATCTCCAGTGGGCTTGTTTCTATTGTCTGTTTTATTGCTCTTGTCCATTTTATTGCTTTTGTTCATTAGCTCCTGAAATGCCAGATAATTTTTTCTTGGATGTCCAACACTGTGTATAAAAAAATTATAGAGTTAGCATGAGGCTCTGAGTAATATTATCTTTCTCCAGAGGGGATTTGCTTTTGCTTCTGACAGGCACCTAAAGAAGGACAGACCACTGATTGGAAACTTTGTTTCAGTCTTTCTGAGTCTAGTCTATATCTGGTTAGCCTTTTTTCCTACAGTGTTGCCCTTTGGTCTTCCCAATAAAAGTTGGAGGTGTTTGGCTGGGCACTGTGGCTCAAGCCTGTAATCCCAGCACTTTGGGAGGCCGAGGCGGGTGGATCACGAGGTCAAGAGATCGAGACCATCCTGGTCAACATGGTGAAACCCCGTCTCTACTAAAAATACAAAAAACTAGCTGGGCATGGTGGCGCGTGCCTGTAATCCCAGCTACTCAGGAGGCTGAGGCAGGAGAATTGCCTGAACCCAGGAGGCGGAGGTTGCGGTGAGCCGAGATCGCGCCATTGCACTCCAGCCTGGGTAACAAGAGCGAAACTCCATCTCAAAAAAAAAAAAAAAAAAAAAAAAGTTGGAGGTGTTTAACAGGACCCTTCCCCTTTTTAGGCCCCCAAATTCCAGTTTTGACTCCCCAGTCTCATAACCATGCCTCCTACAAACTGGAAAATGTCTTTAGGGAACAATTGAAACCAATATGACTTCTCTCCACAATCTTGGCCCTGTCAAGTCCTCACTGCCTTGGTAGCTCTCCCATGACTTTAAACAGATTTCTTAAATGCTTAGTAGCTTTTAAAGTTATCTTCAGCAGGTAAATTGGTCTGATAGAAGCTAGTCTACTCCAGCCAGAAACAGAAGTCTAGATGATAATCTGAAGTTAGCATTTTTAGATCTAATAACTAAGTTATGCTATGCTAAGCACTTGTAATAATATCTAATTTAATTTTTACAACATAAGATTAAGTATTACTATTACATCTCCATTTTACAAATGAGGAAATTGAGACACAGAAAGGTTAAGTAAACTCACCCCACACCACTCAATTGCAGTGGTAGTGCCAGGATTTGAAATCTGGTGCACTGATGCCAAAGCCTGAGCTGTCAACCCAGCACAGGGCTACATTTGTTAAATGTTTGTTGAATGACTGAAGCACAGGCTCTTCTGAGGCCATGTAGATAAGCTCCTGTAATTAGAACTTACACACTCAAATGTCAACAGCAGAGGAAGACAGGTTTTCTCTGGTTCAAAGAAGATAAAACTCACTTTGCTTCTGCCTTGGTTTAGCAAACTAGGTTCAACAGAAAATAATTCCAGCCCAGGGGCTGAGCTTCTAAATGTTTCTTATCTGCTCCTGGGAGGCAGAGCCACTGTAAGACAAAAAGGTCTCCACCCTAAGCACAAAAAGGACTAAGAACAAGTGGGTGTTGGGCTTGTT